TCCACACGGTTCCAGTGAGCTAAGAAAATGCTTATCTCCCTGAGCTTGGCCTTTATAATTCCATTGCATCACATTGAGGAACATTAAAGAAGATATGTAAACTGACATAAGAAAACAAAACAAAAAAAAGGAAACAAAAAGTAACATACCATTGAATGAACAAGGCATTTAGAAATTTCATAGAGGTTATAATTTTCCAGTATAACACAGTTAGCTATAAATAATTTAATGTATTATATTGCTTTAACAGACTAAAAATAATCACTATTAAACTCTAAGAATGAATACTGAGAACTTGGGTCAATCACCAAGTAAAACTATAGATTATAATAAATTCAATCCATGTTAGTAAAAATCTGTTCTGTTTTGGACATCCTATGAAATTAAAATATAGACTCCATCCACAGAGAAATCCAAATTCTGGATGTGGTATAAATCCATGTATTAAGTTGTAGTCTAGAAATGGTTTCCAGTCTGAACTGAATTCTGTGTCAGATTTACTTTTAAGATACAAAGTTATTATAGACACTGAAGCATTCTCCCACAATTTAGCTTTCTTTTATTGAAGGGATCACGTGACCTTTGCAGTAACAGCATATAATACGCTTGCAAAAGTTAGCATATTCATAGTGTACTTGGAAGAGATATACAATTTAGTAAAGTTTAATATCATAGGTTGAAATGGGAATTCAACTTTTAAGATTTGCTTTATATTATAGATCATTTTCCAGAATTGGAGCTGCACAGCATTGCCGCCAGATATGAAAAAAATGATCCAGCCTACGCATTACATTTCCAGCACCTTTTTAAGAAAATGAACTGTCCATTTTAGCAATCAAAACTGGAGTAAATAGCAACAATAAAGCATCTTATATTTTCTCTAAGTATGATATTTGGTCCTGGGGAAAATCTATCTATGTGGTCATTAAGAGCTGATACCAACTTGATGGCACATAATCAATCAATCAATGATATTCAGAAGCAAATTTAATGTTCTTCTTCCACAGAAATTCCCATTGTTGCATCTGTATTAATTGGGATCAAGAACTCCATCACTAAATGACATAGTTGTAAAGCATGATGTCACATGACTGCACTGACTTACAATGGCAGTTCCAGTTCCGGTCTTTAGGCAAATCCCGCATGGTCGTTAGGCATGATGTCATGTGATTGCCATTTGCAACCTTTTGCCAGCTTCCCCATTAACTTTGCTTGTCTGAAACCGGCAGTGAAGGTTGCAATAGTGATCATGTGACTACGGGATGCTGTGACTGTCGTAAGTGTGAGCTGGTTGCCAAGTGCCTGACTTGTAATCATGTGACTGTGGGGATGCTACAACAGCTGCAACTTTGAGGAATGGCCATAAGTCTCCTTGTTCAGTGCCACTGTAACTTCAAACAGTTGCTGGACGAATGTTCGTTAACCGAGGACTATCTGTATCTCAATATTCCCTCTTCTTTTTGCAATTCTTTGAGTACTATACTAATTTGAAGATACTGAAACCAATCATGTAGACTAGTTCATTGCGAAGAGTCTCAAAAGATATTATCTTCATCTTGTTAATAATTAAATCTTGCAATCTAAACAAATTATTAAATCTCCACTGAGCAAATTTGTTAGTGCTTTTCTCTTCATAGAAATAAACAGCAGCAAAACAAAAGTGGAGAAAATCTGGGCTTATTCTTGTTCTGCATTTATCCCAAGCACTCAGTACATTATGTATTTTGCATGATCCCTTATGAATTGTTTGTTTCAGTTTGTATTGGTCTAAATATATTTATGCACAGCATCTGAAAGTCCTGCCCCTTCCTTAGAGGTAAGGAGCCAGGAGATACAATCCACTCTGAAATCCATGTTAAACAACTAGCATGATAATACAATTTAAAATCCAGAACCACCAATCTGCCTTTCTCTTTTTAATCCTGTAAAAACTTTAATTTAATCCTCAGTCTTTCACTGGACCGTATGTAGTTCAATATTTGTTTATGCCATTATGTCACTTAATACCATCCTTTCAATATACAGAGGCAGGGAAAACTTTCTAGCCAGTGTTTATGGCAGAATGAGAGTGGAATACTTACTGGAGGATAAAGTCTTGGGGCAAGCACTATTTCACTATAACTGTAGTTACAATCAGTCACCCTGCACTTGAAATGAATGAGAAAGCCTTTTGGTTGATGGATGTCATTTCCAAGCAAGGCTGTGTTTTTAGACTTTAGTTTAGAAATTAAGCATTGATAAGCATAGGCGTAATATACTTAGTTCAGTCCCATTCCTAAGGCTCTCAAGTTAAGTTAGACAGGAAAACAGCCAATTAGGCCTGCTAATGTTTCTTCTAATGCTGGTATGCTACCCCTGCTGGATATTTTATCCTTAAACTTAGGTTATGAGAAAGTCTAGACGTACACTGATCAAGGAGATGAGAGTTTGCCATCAAACATAGACGTGATACATTCAGTCCACAAAGCAAAAAAATATAAAGGGGTAGGTGTGAAATATAGATGTAGAAGAGGGGAATATGCAAAAATTGTTAAGGAAACTGGAGCTATTGTGATGAAATTCTAATTTTCCCCCATCATCAATCTTCATTTATGTCTTTGGACCAGGACTCATGGTTTTGGGATAGAATGTACCAGAGAAAACAGATTTCATTCACAAGATATCAATCTATCATTTTATACAGGATTGTTTTTCTTACATACATAAATACATAAGAAGGATGTACTCTATTCTATAGGTTCTTGGTAGGTTCAAATTTTGACTGTTTTACTAATGAGTCATTATTTGTGGTCAATATTAATCCTGCCCTTCTCCCAAGTCTTATGCAATGCCAAAAGATGTGAATTAAGAACATTTTTAATCTTTGCAAAATACCAATATTGCTCCTTTTGTTGGCTTTCTTAAACTCTAATCAGATTAGATGGGTGGCTTTTAATTTTTTCCTCCTGTAATGATGAAAATAAATTTACTCTTACATATTTATATGTAAATTTACAACATATAGATACAATAACAT